GCCGGCGCAGCCTCTTTGAGCAGGAGGCCTTGCAGGGTCCCAAAGACTCATTTCTGGCGGTGTTTGGGGGAGAGAAAGAAGGACTTTGGTTGCTTTCCTTGCGTGCAGCCAAAAGCAGGAGGAGGAGAAAGTGGAAAGAAGCAACCCGGTGGCCAGGCAAGGCATGTGGGATGCGTGGGGCAAGTTCCTCCCCCTCTGCCCTTTCCCTCTCCCCTCACTACGTGTTGCTCGCAATGCAAGCGACGCAGCTGTTAGGGATAACATTGGTTACCTAACTTAGTTTGGGTAGAATAATATATAAACTATGTTAGTGAGTTTAAGTGTATGTATCACTTTAAACTGTAAACCAAGTTTTTGGGTGCGGCTGTAAAATCACCATAAGAGGGAGCAAGAGAGCTCACTGTTCCTAGGCTTTACTGGAATGCTGACAATGATGGCTTGATGGTGATAACTGCGTGTTTGCTGAGAGAAGAAAAGGGGTTTGATTTTCTTCATATCTCTGACTGCAAAAGAGATATATCACTGGACTGATTGATTGTAAGTTTAATGAACTCTTTTTTGACACTGGACTTTGCAAACTGAATAACCCCCGGACTGACTGAACTTAGTGTATGACATATGGACTGTTTTGACTATGCTATAACTCTTGCTGGAATAAAACTATTTAACTTGCACAGTGTATCTGTCTTACTGAGTGTAAGCTACTACAACGTTTTGTCTCACATATCTGCCTGCCTGCTAGACTGCCGTTGCACGTTCTGCTAGGGTGTATATCCCTAACACTAGCCTTGTATTCCCACGTAGCCTGGATTAATTGCTTTGGGGGTGACATTTCTATGCGGACCACCAAAATTTTCTCGCAGGCCCTGGGGGACCCAAAAACGGTGCCTTGATGATCAGAGGAACCCACAACACAGTTAGGGGACTTCAGCTCATTCCCTGTTGAGTGCAGCCGTATTTATTAGCTATTTACTTCATCTTGACTACCTTGTAAGTAACTTGAGGTGGCAAGCATGCATAACACTCCCTTCTCTTTTGTCCGTCCCCCCCCCCCCCACCCCCCCCCTGTGAGGTGCATGGGGCTGAGAGAGAGGAACTGGCCCAGTCACCCAGTGGGGTTTTCAGGCTTAAGGTGGGATTGGAACTCACTGTCTCCTGGTGTTTGAACCGAAGTCACCCAGACAGATTTCATGCCTAAGGTGAGACTAGAACTCTCTCTCTCCTGGTGATTGAACCAAAGTCACCCAACCAATTTTCATGCCTAAGGTGAGACTAGAACTCCCACTCTCCTGGTGATTGAACTAGTCATCCAGCCGGCTTTCATGTTAAACAGGGACTGGAACTCTCTCTCCTGGTGATTGGCTCAAAGTCACCCAGCTGGCTTTATGCCTAAGGTGGGACTAGAACTCACCATCGCCTGGTGCTTGGCCCAAAGTCACCCAGTCAGCTTTCATGCCTAGGGCAAAACTAGAACTCACCGTCTCCTCGTTTCTAAGTCAGCCCCGTAACCACTAGGCTCCTTAACCCAGACTTTAGCCACAATTTCCACAATTTTCTCCATGGCAGCGACCACTTTAAAAACAGATCAGACTCCAAAGCCCAGAGCATTTTCAGAGCCACCCATGTTCCTCTCCCACAACAGCTTCCAAAAGAGTCAACCCTGCCTGTGACAACTCTCTGGAGTCTGGACAGTTCTTCCTTTTCCCTCTTCGATGTTCAAGGTTCATTTGAATGCCTAGCACTACCTGAGCAAGGGGGGCTGGATTAGAAGACCTCCAAGGTCCCGTTCCAGCCCTATTCTGATGGATTGACTGTTGTTGCTTTATGTTTAAACGACACACTGTTGTTTGGAGAAGATGCTTCACCTGCATTTACTTGGTGAGCAAAGGGCTATGACATTTGCTTGCCCACTGGCCCGCTTGGCTTGAGCTGCCCATACAGGTAGATAATCCTTGGCTTACAACCGTTTAGTGACCGTTCCTTAGATGCAACAGCACTGAAAAGTGAGTGATTGTAGAGTTCCCCAGGCGGCCAGGCTGTAAGCTGACTGGGCTTCCACTCCCAGAGTTCCCCAACCCTAACCCTAACCCATCCTGGGAGTCGTAGTCCAGTCATCTTAAAGCATGGCCAGGTGGGGAATCCTGGGAGTCGTAGTCCCCAACTCCTAAAGTGGCCAAGACTGGACCTTCCCTGCTTTAAAACCTTCTCGGTCGCCCTGCCCCCAATTCCCACCAAGGAAATCGAGGCTAGGCTCAGCCGTACGAACTGCCCCCCCCCCGATTTGGGGAGGGGGGGTCAGTGGGCCCCGGGAGCCGGGGGAGGTATGCCCCCCCCCCTCCCGTCCAGGCAGCCCAGGGCCCCCTCCAACCCATGGGGCCACTCGGGGGCTCCCCCCCTACCCACAGCCATTGGGGGCAGCCGACGAGACCCCCGCGGGGCGAGAGGGGCGTGGCCGGGCGCGAGAGGGGGCGTGGCCGGGAGGGTCGGGGGCCGCATGGCGCGCGGGGCACGACGGGAGGGGCGCCGGGGGGGGGGGGGGGGGGGGGGGGAAGGGGGGGCCGGGGGGGGGGGTGTGGGGGAAAGGGGTCCGAGCCTCACCGTCCGCGCAGCGACCCCAGGCGCAGCCCTCCGCGGAAAGAGAGGCCGGGCCGCGAGGGAGGTCCGCGCTCGCTCTCTCTTCCCGCCGCCGCCGCCGCCTCCTTTCCTCACAAACTGCCGCGGCTGCCGGCGCCGCCCTATGGCGTCATCAAACGGCGTCGGGTGGAAAGGGCGGGGATGCCTATCGACGAAGGGAGAGAGGGCGCTGGGGCGCGTGACGTCACACGCGCCGCCGCCGCCCCTCTCCGCCCGAGCGCTCCTCCTACCCCACTCCACGCTCCTTTTCGCGCGAGGCACGACGGGATTGGGCACCGCCTTCGAGGTGGGGTGCTGGGAGTTGTAGTCCCGAGCGGGAATATGGGGGCCTGGGCTTTCCCGTTTCCCCTCGAGGGATGGTGCCCAGTTAGCATCCTGCCTGGCATGGGTATGCCCCCCCTCTGCCTGCCAAGTGGGCCCAGCGCCCCTCCCAGGCCAGGCCTGGTTGAAGTGGGGGTGGGCTCCACACCTCTCCTCACTATCCTTGCCTGGCACACTGGGCCTCTTGGGCATGGTGCCCCCCCTTAGTGCCCAGACCAAACCGACACGAGGCAAGGCAGGCGAGACCAAATCTCCGTTTTTATTCGCACTGCAATTCCAGGCTGATGGGCGAGGCCTTTGGGAGGCTTCGTCGGCGTCTTCGGACCAGGAGCCAGGCCACGAGGGAGAAGGGCCACGACCAGGGCGCCCATCTGCGGCAGCAGCAGAGGCCAGCCTGGCACTTTTCCCCAAGGTTGCTTCCCATCTGAAGGGGAAGCAGAGAGAGAGAGAGAGACAGCTTTTTGGGGGTGTCAGACAACTTTTAAGACTGGTGGACTACAACTCCCAGAATGCCCCAACCAGCAACTTTATCAGTGGACTACAACTCCCAGAATGGATTGCAACTTCTAAAATGCCTAGCCAGCAACTTTAAGACCGGTGGACTGCAACTCCCAGAATGCCCCAGCCAGCAACTTTAAGGCAGGTGGATTGCAATACCCAGAATGTGTTGCTGGCTGAGGATTCTGGGAGTTGCCGTCCACCCGTCTTAAAGTTGTCAAGTTTGAAAAACCCTGTAAATGTAGCACAAGGACCTTCCTTAGACTAGTCACAGGCTTCTCAAATTACACGGAGACCTCTTTGGTTCTAACCCCCTGGCCAGGACAACTGGACTTGCATGACTTCCAAAGCATGGGGTGTAAGCTTACTCTTAGAGTAAGCTTTGAGTTGCTCCAAAGAGAAGAGGGTCAATTGATTCTCCAAAGCACCAGAAGGCAGAAAAAGAACCAACGGGTGGAAATTAATCCAGGAGAGAAGCAACCTAGAACTAAGAAATATCCTGACAGGGAGGACAATGAACCTGTGGAACTGCTTGCCAGTGTGGCTGCTCCAACACTGGAGGCTTTTAAAAAAGAGATTACAGAGTCATTTGTCTAAAATGAATCTCCTGCTGGAGCAGGGGGTTGGACTAGATGACCTCTGAGGTCCCCTCCGACTCCGTTAGTTCTCTCGTGCTCTCCTGCTAGAGCAGGGGTTGGGCTAGAACAGGGGTCGGCAACCTTAAACATTCAAGAGAGCCACAAAAGTCCT